CCCAGTCTCGGCGGCATGAACAAAACACACAGAATTGTCAGCGTTCTGGGTCCTATATATATATATAGGACCCAGAACGCTGACAATTCTGTGTATATATAATATACTTATTTACATACTTATACTTTGATCCAGAATGCTTCCTAGACGTAGAATATGTCCAGAAGAAATGCTAGCACTCCAGGATGCATCAAATCTGTTAGAACCAAAATACATGAAAGCACGGCACTGCCAAGTGCTTTGTCTGGCTGCTAGACCTCGGCACTAATGATAGAGAGAGAAAAACTCTTGATAATCCGGCAATGCACTGTGCAATGAATTACGAGAAAAATATCCAACAGAAATAAAGTGTGAAATGAAAAAATAGTAATACGCACGGGAGTGCAGGGGGTTGTGTCAGTTTCAAAAGCAGGAAACCGAGAATAGGCAGTTCACTGCGCATGACCAACAGATGATCGGTAGATTTGAACAGTAACGATTAGGTACGAGGTGAGTACAAAAGCGGAATTTCAATGGCTAGTTTCATATGCAACAGTGATCTGAAACAATCATGCAGGAGCTTGTGACTGCAGATGAAAAGAATGTGGTTATCAGTGATGCGAAAATAATCAATAGTGATCACATTTAGTTAATAAATATGTAATAATTACGAAGAGGCATCAGTTATGAAAATATAATGTATTAGCGTAACAAAGTGGGCATTTAAACCTTTCTTTCATTAAGTCATAGCAGCGTTCAACTAGTGTTAACGAATGGTACTCGCCAAATGGTACCACACTTCATGCATCATCTTAATTGCATACAGAATCAAACTGTCCACAGATCACGGACAAGACTCACAGCGTGACTAATCTGAAAGGTACAAAGCAATTCTCATCTAAAATCATTTTTCCTTCGTGCTGCAACAAGGCCATGCGTTAAGAGAGTTTTTCTAATAGTTGATTGCATGTTTGAAGGCTAACATAACATAATTAAATTCTAATCATAAACAGTTATTTAACATGATGCTTGATGATCAACTTATATCCTTCTGCTGAACGATACTCTGGTGATTGTTCGATATATCAATAACTGACGTTTATTCGTCGAAGTGTTATTGATTAATTTATTAAAAATCATCAACGTCATCACTCATGCAGAATTTTATTCTCTGTTAACTGTTAAATCGCACTGAACGATGGGTTCTCTCATCGAAACGACAGAACAGATTCATTTTCGAGCAGTTACATCATGGACAAAATTCGGCCGTGTTTATTTGCCAGGTAAGCATTGATGCTATGCGTCATCATCCGCCACGGATCAACGAAGCATACGGCAGAAGAAAATTAGCGGTATCTGCGATTGCTTTTACGCACTGAAAACTTGTGCACCACAATCATGCGTCTCGTCGTTAGCAAGTCTTCGTCTGTTAGTGGTTTCTGTTGGTAATAGTCACCTGCCGGCTCCATTCTTTACTTGCTGAAGGCTGTCAAGTAAACGATTTCGATCGGAACTCGGCTCCACGTAGGGTCGGGCTGTCCATGTCTAAGATCCCCATAATCATCGAGCTAAACATTGGCTGAATCGAGTGCCGGTTCACGTGATCACGGAAAAAAAAACACCCTGTCGTGTTTACATTGTGCCGATCTGATGCCAAGCTAACCTAGCTATGGTTTATTTTTTTCTCACGTGAAGTATTATCGCTTAAGTTTAAAAATACACAAGTCTAAAGCTGTTCAGCCTTCTTTTCTCAGATCACTGCGTGTGCTGCTTCCCACTGTGCTGGTGCCACATCCAGCGACGCTAGGCACAGCACAAGACGTGAGTCATCGCTTGGGCGAAGCTGAAGTTCCGCCATTTGCTCACCCGTGGATATACGAAGGTCGACTTGCGAGGATATATGGCTTCCTACGTCAATAGGCTATGCGTGTGTTAATCTCCGTTCGAATATCTGACGCATCTAGTAATAACTCTTGGTTTGCACGTGATCCATGTGCTGTCTTATCGATTATCGATAAAACTCTAGTTTCCTAGTTCGTTTTTTTTCTTTAGTTGTGATGAGACTCTCTCCTTCCGACCTCGTAATGAGAAATCGTCTCGTTAACAACGCTGCTGCTTTCTTACACCTCTGTGCAAACCAGTTTTCGTTGCCCTCTGATGTCAGTCGCTTCAGAGCTAAGCGACGAATCTATACGCTGATGCCACATGGTCAAGTGTTTCACCATTGATCGCTCTTCAGTTGAAAAGTAATGGAAATCGTAAGTGATTCCTTTCATGTATCTTGCATAAGTGGTTTACTGAAACCTAAAAGCTTTTGATTTTGAAAGCTAGGCTCTACCAGGCTCGGGGCATGGATGTCTTAAATGGCCTCATTTGTCACCTGCTACTCTAGATCTACAGGTCATGATTACAGTGCAGTGGTTTGAACACGTGATCGACGTACCGCAAGTGAGACTCGCGGTGCTGGAGTTCATTAATGGGACATGCTGCATGAAAAGCGGTATCCGCTCGAGTTGGCTGAGGAACAGTTTCCTAGATGACAGATACAATCAGACGCACAGAGGTTGCCTCTTGGTGGAACACCAGGATCAGATCGCTTGAAGCAGCCCACGTCTTGAAATGGATCGAAGGCACTAGTAATAAGTTATATAATAAACTCCATAACCTTAGATTCGCACAAACTGAGATGTTTCCTAAAATCATCTTTCCTTGTAAGCGAATATAGGGCAGGATGTCTCATAATTCACTTTTCTATTCACTCTAATTCAACTGTAATGAACCGTAATTTTTCCTAGAAAGGATTGATTTAAAGACGTACAGAAACTATGAGTTCTGTTTGTTAGCTGGCCGTTTTATGGTTCGCGGCAGGTTTTCACCTACTAATAGTTTCGTACATCCGTTGCACTGCTGCATTCATGCTTTCTGCAACCAGTTTCACGTAGAAGTTGAATTTGTTGACATCATTTGCAGACATTTATTGGCACTGACATTTAGTAAAAAGAAAAACAACCAATCAAATCGTGATCAATCAAAGCCGGTTTCAGTTTGGCTGTCAAGGCAGCAACGACGACGACTAGAAATGCTATCAACCACTCAAGAGGGTAAGCACTTGCAAGCTCAAGTGTAGGCATGTCCCAAGATCTTATATCCGGTCCGTAGGCCTCATTCCATTGTGGTGACTGTTCATGATGGCTAGTCCGTTTCATACATCCGATGCATTGAGCCTAATTAATTTTGTCTCGTTTGAATTTTTCATACCTTCCCCTTTGTATACTAACTATTTTAGCCGTTACTTTGATGGCGACTGCTCTGCTTTCTCCATCTCATTACTTTCCCTCATCTTGAGTAATATTGCTTTGCCAAAATTTCTGAAAAACACTA